AAAGTTGCCGATGAGAGTATTCCATCCAGTAAAGGACGTTTATCTGAAATATTTACCTACAAGCTGGGATCCTAACTGGTTTGTTAAAATCAAATAATGCTAAAAGCATCAGACATGCACAAGAACTCGAAAAGTTGGTTCTGTTATTTTATTCTTTTGGCATTCAAAAAAAAAATTGATTTTCCATGTTTTTCTGTTTTAAGATTCAAACTGTTTTGAAGAATTTTTTACTTATTTGGACGAGTATCCAGCAATTTATGGTTTTAGGCATCTTGATGGTGCAAAGAATGCTGCAATTATCAAATCTAGCCTCATGTTATAGGAAAGTGAACCTGAGGCTTTTTGCATAATCGAATGAAAATACATATAGTTATTAATGACTTGTAAGATTAAAATTTATTATTTTCCCATAGGAGAAATACTCTAGATATGCACTTGGCTGGCTGACTTGATTAGCATTGGTTAATTGGAGGAACTTTACTATATCAACTAGCATAGCTCAAATTCATTGTATTTAATTGGAATCTGGTATTGTTCACAAGAAGAATGTTCCAATTGCGTTTAGAATGGAAGCGTGGGATGATAAAATTTTGAAGCAAGAAGAAAACTTATTGAAAGTCATCAGGGGCGGACCCAGATGTCTAGTATTGTGGGGTCAAAATTTTAAAAATAATTTTTTTAATAAACAACATAATATCAATAAAATAAGTTAATATGTATTTTGACACTTTGAAAACGTCGTATAATTACATTATTATTAATATTATTAAATAAATTTTGATACTTGTATAATTTTGTTTATCATTTCGTTGGTAAATGCTGAGCTAACATTAAGTAAATTACATTGAACATAGAAATTAAATGAATTGAAATAAAATTCAAGTTTAGTTCAGGAAATAAATGAAATTCAAATTTAAAGCAAACATATATAATTTGAAAGTAATTCAAATTGCATTTAATTCGTAACAATTCTAAAAAATTTACGTCATATTTCATGTAAGACTTCCGAATGAAACGATATATATTATATTGAAAAATTTATTGTGCAAAAATAATAATTAATTGAATTTTTTAAAAGAAAAAACGAGTTAGACGTCTTTTTTAAGGCGTACGTTTGATACATATTTAACTATTTTCGATATCCGTTTGGACCATTCGATATGCAAACGATGTAGTTTTCGAAACAAACTTTTATATGGCATAGACGATTTGTGGATTCAGATATCACATGATTGCAAACAAATTTTTAAAGTTAGGATATTATCGAAACTCTCAAAATATTAGTTTCAAACGGCCTACTTTAACATGTCATAACTTTTACTATAATTGACCACTTTGCATGCCATTAATGAGTGAAAAACTAGGCCATGAGTACTTCGAAATGATATTAAGAATACAATATTTTGACTTCATTTGACATCCCGACGAATGCATCAAAGTAGATTGTAAAAAAAAAAAAAAAAGGGGGCAAAATTTTGTGGGGTCATTTGACCCCATGTCCGCCCGTGAAAGTCATAGATGGGTTAATTGTCCTATTGTAACATAAATCTATAAATTTCAAATTTCAAAATTAAAGGTAACTTTAATTTTCAATTTTCATTCATTTAAATTTTCAGTTTTGGTGTTTAAATTTCGAATTTAATAAAATTAAAAACCTTAATTAAATTATTTAATGTATATGAATATTTAATTTAAAAGATGATGTAGGTGTTTGTGTTAGCAAATAACTGTACCGTATAGAAAATTTGTATCATATAAGATGTGTATATATTAGTTAAAAATGCATCGTAGTCATAAAACTCATGTTGACATGTGAAAATTTAGCTTTCTAATTCCAATGAACACCTCTAGTAAACAAATTGTTATCTATAATACAATTATGAGAAGTAAGAGATCCAAAAGTGTGATTTTTTATTTTGTTCTAGAGTTTCTCTACATAATTGAACATGACTAGTCTGATAGTGTTGATTAGTGAAAATGCATGGTAGTGGTATGTTGGTGACTGCCTGACTGGTATAAAGGGGTTTATATTTGGTTTCTACTTGTTACTGTGCTACATATACAAGTTGTTTGTATAATTTATAAGACTGCTTTCCAAAGTCTCCATGTGGTGGTACTATATCTATCTTTGGCTCAGATAGTTCAAAAGAATATTGGAAGAAAATACGGAAGAAATTTTTTTAGGCTCTAGATTGGGTTTGTTTACTATAGATATAATTATCTGTCATTAAATGAAAATTATGTAGAATGCTATTCACATTAACAATGCCTGAGCTTGCAAAGATGCATAGTATTGCACCATAGGTATCCTTTAGGTCACACCAAGGAAAGGGCAGTCATATATAGACTGCAGGATTAAATTTTTGATATATTATCCAACTCCAAATCGAATTCTTGCTTCTTTATATTCATCCTAATATTAGATTCATTATGGAAAAGAAATTTCATAAGTTAGCGGGTACTAAAATTTTGGATTTATGTGTGCCAAATATCCATGACTATTCATAATTATAATGGAGTTGACTAGCGTTCAAATTTTTATGTGAAGCTCCACAAAGTAACACCATCTTATTTAGCTTGATTTATGAAATGAAATTCTTTTAGTATAAGCGATAAACTGTAGTAGTGAAG